TGGAGATCATTGCAAGGAGTCATTTAAAAAATCTAGTCAAACCTTATGATCCAGGGCTATCAATTCAGAGCAACTATAGGAGAGAGCAAAAGAAAAAAAAATTAAATAAATAAAAAATAACATAAATGGAGTCAGCAAATTTAGACTGAAAATAAATCTGTAAGACAAATGATTGGGTTTCCTCAACAAAAAATTGCCAGGAAAATAGAGGAGGTGGAAGGAGGTTTCAGCTACCACCTAATTTAAAAGGTTAAGCTGACTTACATCTTCAGTCAAGCAAATGATAGGAATAGGAAAATTATCAAACAATCCCTGAAATTTGAAAACTGGCTATTTGATTTTAAGAAATCATTACTTATTAAAGTGTGATCATGGCAATGTTGTTAAGTTTTAAGAATTTTACTCACTAAAAATATGAAATTATACAGTGTCTTTGCTTTCTTTCACAATAATGACAGGGTAGAGGCGATGGAGGAGAGCATAAATGAGACAAGTCAGCCATGAATTGATCATCATGGAAGCAGAGGGATGGATGTGTAGAGTCCCTTAGGCTGTTTTCCCTACTTGTGTACAGACATCATTATTTTTCATAACAAAGCATTTAAGAAAAAAGATATTCCTTAGTAAGATATTACTTAATGTGTATCTTTCACTGCCTTACTCAGTAAAATCATATTTCTATGCTAATCGTAGAAACAAATCTAGATAGTATAACCCTCCATGACAGTTTAACTGTATGTATTGTTACTCCATTCCAGACACTCTCTACTTCAACCTTAAAAATACTGCCTACTAGGGGTGGGCATTGTTTTGGTGCAGTATTTCAGATGTCCTTTGTTTTGCCTGAATCCCATATCAGAATGCCTGCCTTTAAGTCTCTGGGCTCCACTTTGCCTTCTGTCTTCACTAATGCACACCCTAGGAGGCAGTAGGTGATAGCTCAGGTGCTTGGATCTTGGCCATGCATGTAGAAGACTCAGATTGAGTTCTGTTCTCCTGGCTTACCCCTGGCTGTCGCAGACACTCAGGGAGTGAACTATCAGGTGAAAGATAGTTCTCTGTCTCTGTGACTTTCAAATAAATGAAAAAATTCCACATTTTAAAAAATGATAATTTAAGAAATCTAATTTATACAGTGATAGTAGACATAATTATTTTTAACTTTCTTGATTTTTTTTTTAAACTTGGAATATTTTAAGGGAAAAAAAAAACAGGGAGTGTTGAATCAAAAAATAAAATAAGAAAAGTATAAATATTACAGATCCACTTTCCTTATAAAGAAAATGTACTTGGAAAACTTTCTTAAAAAACAATTTTAACACTTTTTGCCTTAGAAGAAACTTTTGGTTGAAGGTTTTTTTAGTTCGATGCAGTTTGCAATCATTTGACTTTCATCATCTCCTAGAGAGCCAGTTCCTTCAGTAATAAACAAGAGGCTGTCTCTTTCAATCAATATCAATCTAATTCAAGTAAGATATTTCTTTGTGAACATGCTTATTTCAAATATCATTAAAACACAAAATGAGCCTATTGCAGCAAACAATATTCTAGCATTATTTAAAGCAAATAAAAAATGCTTCAACTGAAATAATCACAGTAAAACATAATTATCAAACACAGCATTTGATATAGGGACCATGAGAAAGTGCTATAATTTTTAAAGTGTAAGTTTGTTGAGAAAATGATCTTAAAAGGGGAAAAATGCAAAACTTGGGTGGGTAGATAGTTATTCCCAAAGTTTTATAATAATTGCACATGCAAAATATGAAATAAGTGATTGTATTTCAGACCTGAAACGAATGTTGTCTTAGCAGCCTCTGCTGTCAGGGAGCAAGCAACTGAGAGGAAGAAGGGGAATGAGGGCACAGAGCCCAGCCTGCTAGGGGCTGCTAGAATGTGGAGCATGCTGCTCTACCAATCTGCCTCCAGGTTGACCCCAGAGAGAGTGAGCAGCCCTGTAACAGCACTGTCTTCTTTTACCCACACTGCTCCCAATTTAAGACATCCCCGGTATGATCATCACATTTTCCAGATAACAAACGGTAGACAACAGAAACAACACTGAATTGAGAGTTCGTGTTCAAAACTACATTTAAAGGCATGAGTTTAAATATATTAAATATTTAAAATTAAATAATATGTATTAACATGTATTCTCGAAAATGAAGCTTAAATAACATATTCATACATATATTAACATTTGCAACATATAGAAAAGCAGAGTTAAATTCAACGTATCAACAACGAATATGAACTTAAACACTGTCTGATGCAGTGGCTACAAGACACCTCTGTCTTGAGAAGTTGCAATGGGTGTAGTCTAAACTGAAATATTTGTAAGTTTAAAAGCACACAATATAATATAATATTATAGACACTTGGGATTAAACAAAATACATGATTAAATATATTATAATAATTATTTTGCCTTTTTCTTTTTACCTTTGTGGCTACTAGAATACTGAAAACTACATATGTGGCTCCCATTAAATTTCTCTTGACGGGGCTGCTCTAGAGGAGAAAAAGGAGTTCAATAATGTAAAATAATGCCTTTTTAAAACGACAAAACTACTGTTCTATAGATACCAGCCATTACATTTTTCTATATTTATTTTATTCACTGATTTGCTCCTATTATGTGACAAATATTGTTCCAGGCACTTGAGAAAACACTGAAAAGACAAAAATTTTTTAAATCCCCACTTTTTACCTTTGGTGTGAGAAAACATACAAACAAATTAATGGGTAAAGCATATAAAATGTCAGATGGTAACTACTGCTATTGGAAAACATTTTAAAAATTTCTAAAAGAAAAAGAAAAAACTGTGATGGGAAAATCAAGTCAGGGAACTGGTACTGTGGCACAGCAGGATAAACCACTACTTGCAGGGCTGGTTTGAATCCTGGCTGCTCTACTTCCAATCCAGCTCCGTGCTAATGTGCCTGAGAAAGCAGCAGAAAATGGCCCAAGTGTTAGGGTCCCTGCCCCCCATGTGGGAGACTGGGATGGAGTTCCTGGCTCCTGGCTTCGGCCTGACTTGAACTTGGCTATTGTGGTCATTTGGGGAGTGAACTAGCAGATGGGATCTTCCCCCCTCCCCGGGTTTCTTTCTCTCTCTCTCTCTCTCTCTCTTTCTCCCCCACATCTCTCTCCATTGTACTGCCTTTTAAATAAATAAATAAATCTATCTTTAAAAAAAAGAAGAAAGGTATCAATCAGGATTGGGGTTAATGTTGGGAGAAGCAGGACAGACATCTGGAATTGCAATTTTCATAGATGGTGTGGGAAGGCCTATTGAGAAGGTGGTATCATGCAGAGAATGGAGGGCTGGGTCAGGCAGATGTCAGGGGGAAGAGTGTGATGGACCTGGCTGGGCTTGTGGTGTAACAAGTTAAGCTGCCAGCAATACCAGCACCCCATAGGAGTGCTGGTTCAAATCCCAGGTATTCCACCTCTGACCCAGTGATGGAAGATTCTCTCTGTCCCTGTCTAACTTATCAAATAAATAAAATACATTTTATATGTATATTAAAAAAGAGTGTGACAGATAGAGGAAAGACGAAGTGCCAAATCCTTGATCCCAGATATGGGCAGAATATTCCAGAACAGCACTACTAGGATGCAGCATGGCTTGAGCCAAAAGAGGAGTTGGGAAAGCATTCAGGGATAAGGTGAGAATGAGACAGGATGGGCATCGTCCACTTCGCTTTTCGGCTTTGGGAGAGATAAGACATAACTCAAGAACTTTTGCAGAGGGGGGACTTAATTTCTTTGAAATTAAAGCATAAAAAAGCAAAATATTGAAGGATCTCCCTCCAGGAAACTGTTGGGGGGAAGAGAGATGCTGGGTGATTGATCAGGAAGCAAAAAAGAGAAAGTGATTTGGACCACAGGGATCATGGTAGAAGGTATAAGAGGCCAGATTCTAGAAAGCCCACTGCCCTTGTGACAATGTGCCCTGTGGGAGGAAGAGGAGTGTCATCTAGTGACCCCTCTACTGCATTATCAAGTTGACATCATAACCATGTACATACTCAATAAAATCATTTTTACAATGACATTCTAACTTTGTAGACTGAAAAGTAAGAGATCACTTTCAGAAACACACAAATGAGAACTCAAATCCATCCTTAATGGTAGAATCAAAATTTAAATTTTAAATGATTAATGTTAAGCCATTTTAATCATTAAGTAGAGTGATTTCAATGGTTTACTTAAAGTATTAGAAATAATTGACACATTACATAATAAACATTGTTCAACATAACAATATCTATTGGAATTTAATTACCAGTTACTGAATCATGTTTCATTACTTAAGACCTTTCACAGTGGCACAGTGTAGAGCTCGAGATCAAGTCATGTTACATCATAGAGTTACTGAATTTCAGCCCTACTGATATTGCTTGTGTGCAAAGTAAACATTTAGTTCATTATCAAAGTAAGGTGTTTAGCTGTGAGTAGAAAACTAGCAAGCATCACAGCTTGCATATGTATAGAAAGTTATAAGTGTCTAGCTAGACTGTTAGGCTACATGTACTGGAAAGTTCTTAGCAAACAGGATGTTAGGAGTGGCCAAAACAGCTGAAGCAAATGCCAGGAGGATTATAAAGCCAGTGAGGAGCTGGGGGAGGGGACTTTAGTGCTAGGAAATAAACAGCTTACTGTACAGCACCCTGGGTGTGCTGGCCCAGCAGACACTCGGTCTTGCAAGGCTGTTAACAAAGTCTCACTGTCACTGCGCTTCCTGAGTCTGAGTCCATCCTCTGAGTGGACAGGTGAGGCTGTTTCTCACAGCAACAAATAATGATGTGCTTGTGTGACTTTCCACATATTGGAAAAAGTTTAGCACCATTCTTGGCCTCTACATATTAGGTAAGAACAGCCCTCTCCCAACAGTTGTGACGACCAAATGCTCCCCAGTCACCAGATACAGTTTGTAAAATGAACAAATTAACATTTGGTTGATTACATAATTAAAGCAATAGCTCATACTTACAGAAAACACTCTGTAGCAGGCATTACACAAGTTGTGTTAAAGGCACAGTCTCACTTCCTCACCATAGCGGAGCAACAAGGAGCACTATCCTTCCTCTCACAGGTGAGGCAGAGGAGTCTAAGTCTCAAAGTGAGGCAGAGGAGAAAACGGGATGATTCTGGAACTTGGGGCCCCTCCTTAGAATTTCTCCCGTGACTAGACTTACGAATCTGTCTCCATGATTCTAGAATACACACTGGATTTAATGAAATAATTAGAGTTCCATTACTTCTTACTAGTATTTATGAGAAAGAAAAAAATTTGATTCATGAATATTTTCATTGTTAGCATTTTAAAACTTCTAATTTGTGTGTAAACTAAGTTAATTTGGAAAATGTATTACTGTCCAATAAAATTACATCACTGTTAATATTCTTTAGTGTTTACATTTAACCAAAACCAACAGGATAGCAACTTTTTAAACAATTATATGCATTTATTTATTTTTTTTCAAGGAGAAGGTTTTAAATGTGATATTTAAGCTGAGTTTCATTAAAATATGTTTCTTCAGCTGTGCAAAATGCTGTGGAAGAGTGGGAGAAGGAATAGAATGTGACAAAACTATGACAAAGGAGTTAGGAAAAACATTTCAGGAACAAAGAGAACTAATTAACTCAAACATATGGTTCATCTCACTCTGGCAAGAGCTAATTGCCTTTTATGCACTCCAACTGTTAAAGGTACTATGATGTGGCTACTTGTGTGACCATAAATAGAAAAACTATTAGAAAGTATTGAAATCCATAATGCATATTATGTTTTACATAATAAAAAAATCCTTTCCATTTAGCTAACATGGTGTTACAGTGCAGTAAATTTCCTGGTTATTTTGAAATATTTATTTAAAAACCTCCCTAAGGTATATTAGTCTTTTTTAAAAAAGATTTATTTATTGGGGGCCTGCGCCAAGGCTCACTTGGTTAATCCTCTGCCTGCAGCGCCGGCATCCCATATGGGCACAGGGTTCTAGTCCTGGTTGCTCCTCTTCCAGTCCAGCTCTTTGCTGTGGCCTGGGAGGGCAGTGGAGGATGGCCCAAGTGCTTGGGCCCTGCATCAGCATGGGAGACCAGGAAGAAGCACCTGGCTCCTGGCTTCGGATCAGTGCAGCGCTGGCCATAGCAGCCATTTGGGGAGTGAACCAGCAGAAGGAAGACCTTTTTCTCTGTGTGTGTCTCTCTCTCATTGTCTATAACTCTACTTATCAAATAAAAAAAAAGATTTATTCATTTATTTGAAATGCAGAGAGAGAGAGAATCTCTATACTATACCAAGTACATTGGTACCTCTTCCATCTGCTGGTTCACTCTCCAAATGGCTGCAATAGCCAGGGCTACGCCAGGCAGAAGTCAGGAGCCTGGAGCTCCATCTGGGTCTCCCATATGCGTGGCAGGGTCCCAAGCACTCAAGCTAGCTTCTCTTACTTTCCCAGGTGCATTAGCAGGGAGCTGGATGGGAAGTGGAGCAGTCCCCATACAGAATGCCAATACTGCATGTGGTGGCTTAACCTCTGTGCCATAATGCTGGCCTCATCCTTTATTTTATCTGAATTAAAATAATTTGACAAATAGAATACTTGCCAAAGATGACTGGGATCTTTTTTAGATTTTCAGAAATGACAGTAGCTAAAACATAGCTTTTGTTCAATTTTGCAAAAGTTAATGCCAAATATTCAGGAAAATATCATAAACCTCTGTTATTCTTTGGGCATCTTTATAAGTGTATTATTTTGGGGAAAGCACTGTGGCATAGCTGATAAAAGCTGCCGTCTGCAGTGCTGACATCCCATAATGGGTGCCGGTTCAACTCCTGGCTGCTCCATTTCTGATCCAGCTCTCTGCTATGGCCTAGGAAGGCAGTAGAAGAAGTCCTTGATCCCCATGTGGAAAACTCAGAAGAAGTTCCTGGCTCCTGGCATTTGATCGGCACAGCTCCCTAGATGTGGCCATCTAGGGAGTCAAGCAGTGGATGGAAGACCTCTCGACCTCTCTCTCTCTCTCTGCCTCCACCTTTCTGTACCTCTGCCTTTCAAATAATTAAGTAAATAAATCTTTAAAATAAAGTGTATAATTTTGTGTATTTCTGAAAACTTTATTGTGAACTACCTCCTTCTTTTAAATGTAATGTGTGTTTCAAAGTATAAAGAAGAGAGACTAATTCACTGACTTCTGGTTGAGATTCACCCACCAATATAATTAAACACAAAATATTTTGTGTCTGAATAATTCTTTTAAAGCAAAACTTTATAAAGTGGAAATTTTCTTTTAATTTTCAAAATTTATTTTTGTTATTTCCCAAACTAGCTTATTTTTGATTAATATTTACTGCAGAGTGTTTGTCCTGATAGTTCGAAATACAAATTCTCTTTTGTCCCAGGAGAGAATAAAGGAAATCTACTTTTTATGCTCTGAAAGGGTGCATTTCTGCCTTCTATGTCTCTGCCAGAGTCTCCCTAGTGCATGATCTTCTTAAAACTGTTACTCAGACCTCACCTAACAATCCATGGTTCTCAGAATCCATTGGAGGGCTTGGGAGAATGGCCATTGCCAGACCCCAGTCCTAGAGTTGCTGAGTAGCTATTGGGTGGGGCCAAGTTCTAATTGCTTGCTACCTCTCTCTCTCTCTCTCGTTTTATGATTTATTATTTATTTATTAGGCAGAGAGAGAGAGAGAGAGAAAGAGAGAGAGAGAGAGAGAGAGAATCTTCTATCTGCCATTTCACTTCCCAAATGGCTGCAACAGCCAGGACTGGGCTGGGCTGGGCTGGGCTGGGCTGGGCTGGGCCAAAGCCATGAGCCAGCTACTCTATCTGGGTTTCCCTCTTGGGTGTCAGGGGCTCAAGTATTTGGGTCATCTTCCAATGCCTTTCCAGGTTGATTAGCAGGGAGCTAGATTAGAAGCCGAGCAGCTGAGACTCCGGGCTTTGCAAGCAGTGGCTTAATCTCGTGCACCACAATGCCAGATCTGAAACCGCATTTCTTTCTCTTTTTTTCTTTCTTTCTCTCTCCCTTTCCTTTCCTTTCCTTTCCTTTCCTTTCCTTTCCTTTCCTTTCCTTTCCTTTCCTTTCCTTTCCTTTCCTTTCCTATTCTCTTCTTTTCTTTTTAAGATTTATTTATTTGCTTGAAGGGCAAAATTACAGAGAGACAAAGGGAGACACAGAGGGAGAGGGAGAGGTCCTCCATCCACTGGTTCACTCTCCAAGTGGCCACAACAGCTGAAGCTAGGCAGGTCCAAAGTCAGGAACCAGGAGCATCTTTCTGGTCTCCCACAGGAGTGCAGGCACCCGACCTTGGGCTACCCTCTGCTTACCCAGGCACATTAGCAGGGAGCTGTGTTGGAAAAGCAGCAGACTGGATGGGATTCCAGAGTCGTAGGAGGCGGCTTTACCTGCTATGCCACAGTGTTGATCCTGACAGTTTGCATTTCTAACAATATGCAGTGATAAAAAGATTGCTGGTCTAGGGAATTCTCATACACCTTACCTCCATATTTGAGGAAATTTTCTGTGAATATCCAAACTCTGATCAGTAGCTTGCAATTGTAATATGTATATTAAGCATTTAATAATTACATTTTAAAATCATCCTTGAATCTTATTCAACATAAAAACTCAAAAATAATAATTTAGAAGTTAAAAATAAGAACACTTCTATTTCGTTTGTATTGCTCAGTGTATCAGGGACTTTGTCCCTCATAAATTTGCTATTTAATTGATAGGCAGGCATGATAAAAAGAAGAAAAATGTATGAAAGTGTTTTGAATTCATTTGTGCACTGTATTATTTGTATGATATATTTTAATGTAATATTTCATATTCTGTGTAAAATAAAATATATGTATACTAAATTAATAATAAAATAAATTGATAAATAAAAGTAAAATAAAAATAATTATTTCAAGAAGGTAATTTTGAAGTAAAGAGCTCAAAACTTGAACTCTTTTCCCAGTTCTACCATAGTGTTCTTAGTTGCAGCAAAATGAAAGTATCATCAGCCTGTGGGTCTGTTTGAGTTCTGTTAAGAGTTACTATCATACAATTGAAAACCTACGTCTAAGATTAGTCCTCATAGATTTTAACTCGGAAAGGCAGACACATTGCTATTTAACCACTGATAATACTGCATGTGTGATCCTGGGACACACATGGTTTGTGTACGAAGCCCTGGCTTTGAAACATTAAGCTACTTGAGACTCCATCCTCCAACAAAATAGTGTGAAACAAATAAGGATGTCTTGCCATCACAGAAGGACTGTGCCTTCCTACATGCCTAATCCAGAAGATAAAAAGGCAAATATTCCTCAAGAATATGGTGCTACGCGCTTAGCTTATTTTAACTAAGGTTTCAATGTACTTGGTATAGTATTTAAAAAAGTATCAAAACTCTCAACTAGGCATGAATCATCTGATAATGTTATTAAAATATTGAAAATCATTAAAGAGTAATTTATAGTTTAAGTAAACTTATTATGTTGAGGACAAGAATAAAATATTTCATCCTGAAATTAGATTTTAATATAAGCCACAACATGTAGTTCATTCTGTAGAATTAATGAGTGTACACCACTCCTTATTTTCTATTTGTTTTATTGATTTAATAAATAAGTATTATAAATTGCACTTTGAAGAGTTATTTCTTTTCTCTACTTCAACAAGAGTTTCATGTCAGTACTTTTTATTTCCCTTCATAACATTAGTGCTTATGACATTTAAAAATATTATAAATCAGTATATAAACTTATCAGCTCACACATTGTTTTTTGAAATGTGCCTGACTGGTTAATCAAGGAGAGAAACGCACTGGCACCACAATTTGTTAAGAAAAGTAGTAGAATGCTCTTTTAAAGATTTATTAATTTTATTTGAAAGAATGACAAAGAGTGAGGCAAAGACAGAGAGGGAGACCTCTTCCATTTGTTGGTTCACTCCCCAGATGCCAGCAACAGCCATGTGGGTGGTAAGGGCACAAGCACTTGAACCATCGCCTGCCACCTCCCGGGGTACATTAACTAGAAAGCTGGATCAGAAGCACAGTGTCTGAGATTGAAACGAGGCACTCTGATAAGGGATGCAGATATCCCAAGTGACAGCTTATCCTGCTGTGTACCGCAAGGCCGGTCCCAAAATTCACAATAATTTTGGTCAATCTTAGTAGAGTGGGAGTAAGCTAGGACCTAAGTCTGTCTTAGTCTTATTTT